AGACAGATAGACAGACAGACAGACAGACAAGCAGACAGGAAGACAGACAGACAGACAGACAGGAAGACAGACAGATAGACAGACTGAAAGAGACTGACTGACAGCAAACCCCAACCTTGTGGTTGAAATACACATTGAAAGCATTAATGTGGGTGCTTTTTTGTTTTTTGTTTGTCTCTGCAGAGCATGCTGCTTGAGGGAGGTGAAAAAATATCACTGAAAGGCCTGACGGACCTGCCCTGGTTCCTTGAGGGGATGTATGGTTTAGGTAATGAGTCCATGGAGGGAGACTGCTGTGACGATGGCGATGTGTGCAACCTGAATGAGGCTATGTCCTTTGACTCAGTCGCCATTCCACTGCTTTACTCCTTGGCCTTTTTTGTGGGTATTTTGGGTAATTGCGTCCTGCTGGCAGTTCTGGTCCAAAGCTGGAGGAGATGGAGCGTGACAGACACCTTCATCCTGCACCTGTGTGTGGCCGATATCCTGTTGCTTGTGACGCTGCCCTTTTGGGCCGCAGAGGCCGCTCTATCCGAAGGCTGGATATTCGGTGCTCCTCTGTGCAAAATCACCGGCGCGATCTTTACGGTAAGATATGTTGTGTACAGTTCCCCTGCAGTGGCTGCATCAGATGGCGTAAAAAAAAGGCTAAAAGCATTTGAGCATTTATGCATGCCAAATGTCCAAATCGTGTTATTCATTTCTATTTTCATTATACATTTTTCGCAATGCCCGCATTTCCCCAATAGATGGCGTTGAAAAGTCTAAAATCATTTTTAGCATGTTAGCCTTTACTAACTGACCTTTACATGTCATTTGTCTTTGTTCGTGTCACACAAACGCTCCATCTATCCGCCCCTGACCCGCCCCCGCCCCCCCGTCAAAAGAAAGTTAGCCCACGCCTGGTATAGCTGTAACTACTCCATAACGTATTAATACATGTTTCTGAAATGTATTTTCAATTATTCAAATTACAAATATTGCAAATTGCTCTGTGTAATAAAAAAAATGATCTCAGCAGCATGGACTTTATTACAAGGCAATTCAACATTTTTTTTAAGTTCCCGCGGGCCACACAAAACGTCTTGGCGGGCCACAATTGGGCCACGGGCCTTGAGTTTGACCAAGGATATTGTACTAAATGTCGATCAATAGCCCTAAGGGAATGTCCCTCACTGTTGTCAAATAACGTAACCCTTATATAATGTTTATTTCTTGTCATCTGTTTTAACTCATTGATTCTTAATCACAGATAAACTTCTACTGTGGCATCTTCCTGCTGGCCTGCATCAGCTTGGACCGCTATCTGTCCATTGTGCATGCCGCAGCCATGTTCTCGCGCAGAACCCCTAGGGTCGTCCAGGCGCGCTGCTGCGCGGTGTGGCTCGTCTCCATACTGCTCTCCATCCCTGACTGGATCTTCTTGGATGCCATCCATGACGACCGACGGGAGAAAACGGAGTGTGTCCGCGACTACTTCAAGTTTGACCCCGAATCAGTTGGAAACTGGCGAATGGCGTCGCGCCTGCTCTACCACATACTGGGCTTCATTATCCCGTCGCTAATCTTGATCTTCTGCTATTCCTGCATTCTCTACCGGCTGCGCTGTGCCACCCACAGCCTGCAAAAGCAGAAGGCCTTCAGGGTCACCGTGTCTCTGGTGGTGGTCTTTTTCCTATGCTGGACCCCATACAACATCACGTTGTTGGTGGACACCGTTCAGACCGGCAACGCCACCAATAGCTGTGGCGCGAGGAACGCCGTGGACAAAGCCATGGTGGTAACCGCCTCCCTGGGTTATCTCCACAGCAGCCTCAACCCCGTCCTGTACGCGTTTGTGGGAGTGAAGTTTCGACGTCAGCTTCTGGGCATTTTCAGTTCTCTGGGCTGCAAGAGGAAATCAGCTGCCAAACTCAAATCTTCCTTCATCAGCAGGGGGAGTTCTTTGTGGCCGAATTCTACCGACAACTCCAACTCCATTGTTATTTGAGTCAAAAAGACTTCCGGGATATTTTTTGGACAGAGGACTCGAATCCATGTGTCGCTCCTCTTAGGAGTATTACATCAGAGGTGGAAAAAGTACTGAAAAATGTAATTAAGTAAAAGGAAAAAGGAAAAGTGCCCATCTAAAAAAACTACTCAATTAAAAAAAAGGGTTAATTTCAAATCGACTTTGAGTAAAAGTGACTTAATTACCTTAAATTACTTGTTGCAAAAAAAAAAAGTCATACATCCAATCTGCAACTAGTTGTTTACAATCAACAATTCAAATACAAGTGGCAAAAGTTGAGAATTCTATGATGGATGGATGATGGATGGATGGGTGGGTGGATGGATGGGTGGGTGGATGGATGGATGGATGGATGGATAGATAGATGGATAGATGGATGGATGGATGGGTGGATGGGTGGGTGGATGGATAGATGGATGGATGGATGGGTGGATGGGTGGGTGGGTGGATGGTTGGATGGATGGATGGATGGGTGGGTGGATGGATGGATGGATGGATGGATGGATAGATAGATGGATAGATGGATGGATGGATGGATGGATAGATAGATAGATAGAACATAAATTGGCCACATTAGATGGGCCAGATTAAAAAGCCAAACGGGCCGCATCCGGCCCCCAAACCGTAGTTTGCCCATACCTGGGCTAGAGTCTCTTGATCAACATTATCTGTCTATATGAACGTAGCGTGCACGCCCACGCAATTTTCTTTCAGTTAACACAGATTTTTTTTTCTTCCGCAATGTAGCAAAGTGAAATATCTGAGTCAAAATGTACTTAAGTAGTGAGTAAAATTACCTATTCACAAAATTAGTTAAAAATTCAAATTACTCACGTAAACTACTCAATTACAGTACCGTGAGTAAATGTAAATTTGTTACCTTCCAACACTGATTGTTATGAATCTGTTTTATGCCTTTTGTTAATCTGGGATATTTGTTTCTGGTACATTTTAAACTATTTTAAACTGACAGAAAAACGATGTCCGATTGTCTTAAAATTGAACAATTCATGCATACAGGCTAAAAGGCTAAAATGTTTTTATCATTTTCTACGCCATCTATTGAGGAAACGTGGGTATTGCAGGGGAAAGGCAGAAGTATAATGATAATAGAAATAAATTATATAATTTGGAAAAGTTTTACAGGCCGGATTAAAAAGCTGAACGGGCCGCATCCGGCCCATGTGCCTTAGTTTGACCATGCCTGGTTCAAAACCTAGTGCAGTGTTTCTCAAACCTTTTATACCCAATCAGTAGATCCGGATCTACCAGTAGCTTGTAAAGGGAGTACTGGTATGTAAAAAAAAAATACTCATAAAGGTTTTTGTTTTATTATGTAATCGCTAGCAACAATACAATTATTGAATCATATCGTGCCACACAGCTACACCTATTTAATCAACATATAATGTATATATAAAGTATGTTTAACTCAAATATATATTAAATACTTTCAATGTAGGCAGATCGCGTTGGTCTGGTCGCTCTTTGCTTACAGGCAGCAGGCCTACTACTTATCAGGTACAGCAGGATTGCATGTTAAAAAAACCACCCCAACCTTATACAGGCTATAAATGGTACACATTCCTATAGGTCAGGGGGTGTCAAACTCATTTTTTTACTGCCATGTAAAAATGCAATATATACCAATGTGTAGACCAGGGGTCACCACAGTGATGCCTGGGGGCACCTGGTAGCCCCCATGGACTACCAAAGTTGCCCGTGGGGTATGTTCTACAAATAAAAGCACTCAACAACAGAGTCAACGACTGCACGGTTATTGTGCTTTTTGAATCAGTTCCACTTGCAATGATATTCAAATGGGCGCAATAGCGATGAAAAGAAGAGTGTCTACTGTTGTATGTATCAGAACTTACTAGAGTTACATTGTTCGGGAAGTCCGTGTCAAACAAGTATCTCTTCCTGTCTTGAAGTAGCTCACAGTTTCATAAAGGTTAGTGACCCCGGGTGTAGACTGTTCCAGTGTGTTACTAACAAACATGTATTTTAGAAATATTAAATATTATAATACTGCAATATTTCATATATTATATGATGCTTGCGCAAACAAAAGAAATAAAGTATTTTTTCTGAAAAATTAAGAATGGTCTTTATCATGTGTATATGTTTTCACTGTCTGTGTTCTACCTAACACACAAGTATGAACTTTGTCAACAAGGGCACAACAAGTTTGCCTTTTTGTATGATGCCATTACATGCTTAATCCAGGTGAGGGCGCTATAGCACTGCACACATACAACACACCAGCAGTCACTTGGCTCTTCTGAAGAGAAATGTCCCTAAATTTTAAAAGTAAAGTATGGGAAATCACCGGTCTACACACACACACACATATATATATATTATTGCTTAAACACCACCAAAAGCAAATGTAACTCTAAAATGTAAAGAAGTAAATAGGCTCTTAATATATACAGCAGTGATTTTCAACAGGATATGCGCACCTCCGCTGGGGGGCGCCAAAGGAAAAGAAAAGCTTTTTGAAAATCCGGATTTCCATGTCTGATAGATCCTCTTTATGAAATGCACCTGAAACACATATCTGAGAGGTTTACTACATGTAGGCCTTTGTTGAAGACTTATATAAATGTTAATGATATATGTTAGCATGAATGGAAATGTAAACGAATGGTTGAATGAATGAAACCATACAACGTCTGGCGAAGGACAAGAAAATTAAAGCTTAAATATTGTTCAAAAACCGAAAAGAAATGTCCAAAAGGTCTGTTATTGTTTGTATTTTAGCTTAAATATATATATAATCACATTTATATTTATGCATTTAGCAGACGCTTCTGTCCAAAGTGTCTTTACAAGAAGGAGGATTAACAATCAATGCCGAATAAAAATAAGGATAAATAAATGTGTCATTAATTAATAAAAAATGAAATAAAAATATTAATGTGATATTAAACGTGTCGTTAATTAATTAAAATTGGTATGAATTATTCATCCACAGCCTGTGCAAGTGTAAAACGCCTCTCACTAGCTAACCAGTCTTCCACGCATTCTCCCCAGGCTGATGTTACTTCTGACCAGTGGATCAGACTTTGAAGGGCCTGTTTAACCCTATGAATTATGTATTATTCTTTACATAAAATTAATTGATATTTTAATTAATTATATAACAAATTAAATCATGACACAATTAAGTAATTAATAATGTATCTAATTAAATCAACGACACTTCTACGCATTTAATTCCAAATTTCAAATAAATAATAACACATTTAAATCATAATTCCACGATGTATTTATTTATTTCATTTTGGCACTTCCAATCCTCCATACATTAGCGCAACACTACTAGTAATGCTTGGGTCCGGAGCAGATAGATGGAGCGTTCATGTGAACTAAGATAAATGTCACGCATAAAGGCTTGAAATGCTAAAATGATCATTTTCTACTCCATCTACTGGGCAAATGTGGGTATTGCAGGGAAAAGGCAGAAGTATGATGATGATGATGATAGAAAATAATTATTGGTGTGGGGAATATTGTGTGACATCATGTCAGGGCCAGTTCAGAATAACACAAAGCACAGGCACAGGCAATAACAGGAAGGAGCTGACCATGATAAATGACCGTGTTTATCTGTGCTTGGTGTCTAATGTTATTCTGAACTGGCCCTTACATGATGTCACACAATATTCTCCACCACATTATATAATTTGGAAAAGTTTGGCGGGCCGGATCAAAGAGCTGCACCGGCCGTATCTGGCCCCCGGGCCTTAGTTTGCCCATGCCTGTGCTAAAAGGAGAACATTTTTTAAAAAAAAACAAATGCTTATAGCTCAACATAAGATTTGTCTTTGTATTTTAAAAGCCATGCCTGGCGTAATGTTTCTGAGGGCGTGTCTACGCGATGTCATTTGTCGCGTTTTATTTATTTGTGGTAGTTATGCGTTGACGACAGTATTCCTAACGACTTGGGAACATGAAAACCTCTTTTTTTTGGCTAATGCTGTTTTTGTTTCAAGAAGATGACATATTCACCATGCTCGTACTGCATGTGGGAGTGTGAGTACTGAAACTACACATCAGTGGAAAAACATTTTACAACACACTCACAGGAAGCCTAAACGGAGACTAAGCAGCTGCACCTTCTTAAAGCATGCGGTTAAAAGGACAGGAAGTTATCAAGTAAAGTGTGAATGAGTCTTTAATAAAAGACAAATAAAAAGTGTTTTATGACGACACTGCCTTTATTTGCCGATTGTCTTTTATTATTATTATTATTGATGTGTTTGCCTTTGCAATTCAGTATGATTCAGTCCCTGGTGTGTAGGAACCAGTGCTTTACTTGCCTTTTATTCTTGAACCTCTCAGTGGCATTTAAACAGAAACTCAAATGTCATGACTATCCTGTCCTAAGACAAATAAGCTTAGTTGCTATGGTGACAAAATAATTTCAAGAAAACAAAGAACTCATTCAGGTCATTTTTTTTTTTTTTGTACTCAAAAGTTCACCTTAACGGTTCCTTATTTTGACAACTGCCGTGCGATGAACGCTAGTTATAAGGGTTAAACACTTTGTCAAGCTTCGTGTATTATCAATAATAAAGACATATACAGATTTATAGAACTACAGTATATTTCAACTATTGCATTCTTAGCTAGAAATCTTCACTAAAAATATAGGATATTGTGATATTGTCATGAAACAAGCTACTGGAACTGGAACCGAAGGTAAAGCACAACGAGATCCAGCTTAACGTGTCAAATGAAAACGAAAGTTTATGGTAATGTTTGAAAACCTCACACCCTTCCATTTCCACTCTCATATTCAATGCATCGGCTATTTATAACGATTAAATGTAGCCTTTGCTTTAAGGAAATAGAATTAGTGAAAGGACACAAGTCGCAATCGACCAATAGGGAGAAATCCCTGTAGTTTTTTTCCCCCCAAAAAATTAGGTTATTGTCTCAGGAATGAATGGCCTGGCATTTTAATTAATCAACGAATGACACATTTAAGTAATTAATTACGTAATGAATTTAATCAATGACATGAATTCGTATTTAATTTTAAATAATTAATGAAACACTGTGTCAACAATGTATTTATTTTTTTAATTTTGGCACTCTCAATCCTGCAAACCACTGTGGTAACCACTGAGCACGTACTCACACACGGCTCCACTGTGTGCAGTGGTGTGCTGTGTCACAGTGACAAGTGTAGTTCACTTTCACTTTACTTCATTAGGTTGCAGAAG